CTTGATGGTAGAGAAGAAGGTGGTATTATGGCCTCCTTTTTATATTTTATACAATAACTTTGTTAATAATCAATATTTTCAAATTGAAAACTTAACGATTACATTCGACAAAGTATTGTTCAGTCGATTCTAGACTCAAAACGAAATATTCGTTACTTAGGACGTTATTTATAAAAAAAGTGGCGACGCTATAAAATGGATCGGAGATAAACAGAGATAGTAATGCGGTCTCCTAAAAAATCAGTTTTGTTTGGAAACACTTTTGTTTTGTTGTGAATTTATATATTTATTCAAAATATACTTTTTTAGAAGAAACAACAATGAATATAACCGTGAATGTTTAATGTAGACTTTTAAACTTAACTCGAATCATTGACTTATCGAGTAACTATTTCGATATGAAAACTTCGAAAAAGAAGTCATGGTAATTCTATTTTAATGGGAGGCCACATTAGCAAAAAAAATATCATACTGTTGTTTAACTTTGCATAATTCGAAGCGTGTACAGCATAATAAAATATTAATTAACTAATGACTTAATTAATTAGTGACTTTGATAAGAGATGGCGCTCAAATCGCAAATTTGATATTATTTGTGACATTTGCCACAATTTTCTTTGAAGGCATACACACAAAGATTTCAAATAGATCTGTCGAACAATAAATTTTTAACAGCGAAAGCGGATAAGTTTGCGTTATTTTGCTATAATAGAAAAGAGTGAATTCCGTATGTCGAAAGCCAAAATTAGTCGAATTGCGCTACGAACTGCTCCTTCATCCACCCAATTCTTCGGATTTACCCCCCTGCAACTTCTTTCTCTTTCCAAATGCTCGGTGGAAAAAAAGATTCGCATCAAACAAGAAGTTCATCGCTGAAACAAACGCCTATTTTGCAGAGTTCGAGAAATCGCATTTTTCGGAGGGCTTAAAGAAGTTGGAATATCGTTGGGAAAAAGGAGACTATGTTGAAAAATAAGTCGTATTTTGGAAAAAAACAAAAAAACATTTTAAAGTCACTGATTTATCAAGTACCTCTCGTATATTCATGTCTTGCTCAAGTTTCAAGTTGGCTCTACACGATATGGCAAATGTCGGACGAACGTTGGAAATTATATTGATCATGTACGTTATATTATGTTATTTATGTTATATTATGTTATATTATATTTGCGTTATATAATCACATATATTACATTCACCCAACATACGTCATCAATATTAATTGCCAACATCCGCCTACGTTCGTCTAAATTTCTCACATCGTGTGAAGCCGGTTTGGGAAGAATGAGGAAGTACGTGTAATCAAATACTAAATGTACCTTGAAGACGTTTCAAAATGCTTGAAAGTAAAAACGTTCTAACAAATGCCGGCTATTGTGTATTCTCATATTATCGTCACTGCGTAACGGCAGGCTACTGAACAAATGATTTCATAAGTAATCGCTAGAATTCATCATTTAATAGTGGAGATATTAAGGGAACCATAGTACCATCTTCTTTATATGCAATATTATTTAATATTAAGTAATATTTCTGGAATATTAACAGATAGTTACATGTCCTGACAATATTTAAAAAATAATATTATTTAATGTGATTGTAATATTACATATTTTTTAAATGTTCAATTCTATATGTATGTGTGTGTATATATATATAATTGTAATTTCTTATTTCAAATGTATTGCAATACTAATTGTTTTATTGTATAAATATAAAAGTCGAAAGAATTTAGTGTAAAAATACGTTTTATATTAAAAAAATGATACATATGCATATGGCATACAATTATACACACACACACACACACACACACACACACACACA